CTTACGTTAATATTCTTACTATTATTATTAACACTTAATTACTTTTAGATATTATTATTACCACTTATATTATTACTAGCATTTTGTATGCGTGATGCGCGAAAATTCATGCCCAATATTAAAACATTGATAAATACAAATAATTAAAAATTATAATTTGAATTATATATACACAAATAATATATGTATTTTGTACACACACATATATAATTTATCATTCATATAAATTTAGTTAAAATATAATTAAGTATTAAATCAATATATAATGATTTTAATAAAATGATAATTAAAAAATAGAAAAAAGATATGATAGATATAGGTGTATGGTAATAATGATGTGTTATCAATGTTAGAATTAAAAACTAACGGTGTTATAACGGTGTAAGGGTAGTTTTGTCTAATAACATTGGAATGTACAACATTTAAAGTAAAATGTACACATTTATTTGCATACAAAAATATTGACATAAATCAAGGATATAACTTTAATTGAGGCTTATTATGTTTTTAGATTATATTATTATTATTATTATTATTATTATTATTATTATTATTATTATTATTATTAGTTTCTTTTCAAGTACTGTTTGTATATAATGGTCGTGAGGCTCAATAATAATATAACCATAATTAAATATTCTTGTATTGTATTCCGGAGTTAATGCCATTTTTGGTCCTAGACTTATTGAGGCATTGACACTTTTCATCCTGCATAATAAAAATTGCCACTTAGTAGATACTATTATTGGTCGTTGGACAGTTTTGATCCTCCGTCAATGAAGCCGTTTGTTGACCGTGAATTAGAAGGGCTTTTCTGTCTTTTTATGTCTTATTCTTCTAATCTTGTTTAGACCAGCGCTGCTGTGACTCATGTGAAGCGAGATGGCGAGACTTGGCGACTAAGTAGTAACCGTCGGTAGTGAGTAGCAACGAGGTTCTTCTCCGGCGAGTTGTGGGTACGGCAGCGAGCATACGAGGCAGTAACTCCTTCCGGCGACGGACCAGTAAGGCAGATCCGGCGAGGTTGGGGCCTTCACCGGTGGTTTTTGGTTCCGGCGAAGCAGAGAGGGCAGCAGGTCGGCGAACCCTCCTATGGTAAATAGCAGTTGTAGATGGCGTGATGTAGAATTTGCACCTGTAAGTCCTCCCTTCCATATTGACCACAAATATCATTCCCATCTCTCTCTCTCTCTCTCTCTCTCTCTCTCTCTCTCTCTCTCTCTCTCTCCGACTACAACTACTTGGTGCACAACCTCAAAAACTCTGTTATTCTACCTGAAATTCATTGAAGTTTCAAGCTGAAAATGTGGAATCCGCCGCTCCCCAAAAATCGCATTGTCTGAGGTGTTGGAATGGTCGGTGTTGACTTCCTGGCTGCTGTAGCTTCATTCCCCAACCCGGATGATAAAATTCGGAGCACCAGCTTTGAGGTTCAAGGAGGTGGTAACACTGGCAATGCTTTGATAAAATCCAGATGATAAAATTCGTCTTGGTCTTAATCCAAGGATCATATCTAAGGTTGCTGATGACTCGCATGGCGAAAGAATACTTGATGAGCTTGAAAGGGATGGTGTTGATACATCTTTTATGGTGGTGTCCAAAGGAGGAAACTCACCATTCACATATGTCATTGTTGACAACCAAAAAAAAAAAAAACTCGCACGTGCATTTTCACTCTAGGATATCCACCCATGATATATATCTGAGGGTCTACATACCCAAATCAAAATTGTCTTCATCGCTTGGAGTAAATATTATCTACTTAGATGGAAGGCTGCATGAGACTGCTTTGATGGTAGTGCAGGAGGCAAAGAGTAGGAGCATACCTATTATAGTTGATGCAGAAAGGTTAAGGGAGGGGTTGGGTGATATTCCTGACTTTGCTAGTTATGTTGTATGCTCGACAAAATTTTCACAGGCATGGACTAACGCCCTTTCTATTCCAACTGCACTTGTTTCCATTATCTTGAGATTGATGTCAAATGTAAAATTCGTGATTGTTAGTTGGGTGAAGATGGTTTCTTAATGTTAGAAAGGACTGAAGCGGATAACCTCAGTTTGAAGAAATGGATGTAGCAGTGACCAATGGATGGAGAAATACAAGGATTAGAACATAAAAAGACATAAAAACCCTTCTAATTCACGGTCAACAAACGGCGTCATTGACGGAGGATCAAAACTGTCCAACGATCAATAACAGTGGCTACTAAGTGGAAATTTTTATTATGGAGGATGAAAAGTGTCAATGCCCCAATAAGTCTAGGACCAAAAATGACATTAACTCTTGTATTCCGTGAGTCACAATAATTAAATATTGTTCAATTCTATATTCTTCTAGGATTTCTATTACCATAATTAATTATTCCCAAATTTATCATAATTAAATAATTTGACCAATTATAAAGAAATATTATTAAATAATGCACGGGACAATTGTTTAATTAAAAAATTTAAAAATTCATTAATAAAACATAAGGTTCTCATAGTTTTTTCTTAGAAACTCTTTAATAAAGTATTTTTTTTTTTAGAAATTGGTGGGCTAAACCGCCTACGGCAGTTTGCGGTGGATAGATCTCGAAAAAATACGCGATTTCAAAAAAACATTTGTCCAAAACGGACAATGGAGTCATAAGTTATGCCTTGCCGAACTTTTGACACTTTACAACTTAAAATAAAAAATAAAAAATTAAAGGCCGGTTCAGTCAGCTCGGCGGCCGCTGAGGAGGCCGATTCCGGCCTTCCTTGCCGCGGCCAGCGACACGATTTTTGCAACACTGATATATAAAATAGATATAGATTAGAATAGGAATAGTATTACACAATTTTATAATATTACAATAAAATGTTAACCCAGAATTATTGTAGAAATCAATATATTTGATTAGGAAGAGAGATTTTTTAGGAATTGGGCGGGAAGTTAAAATTTCAGGATTTTGTTTTTATATATAGTATAAATAAATTATACCTAGTTATTCAAAATAATTATATTAAAATATTTAATACCTGACAAATTAACGTGTTTTGAGATTTCCTTCTGTTGTTAATTAATCTTCGGTGATTGTCGATTGCAATAGGTTATTACGCAATCGTTATACCCTACCCCACGGCGCACATAGCACTGTGCGTCGCGCGCCTCCCAAAACGACGTCGTTTTGGGATCGTTTTGGGAGGCGCGGTAGGAAGTTGCTGGGATTATGTGTATTTGTTCACACAGTTATGTGTATTTGTTCATACAGTTATGTGTATTGGTTCATACAGTTATGTACATTTTTTATACAATTATGTACATTCTTTTTATACAATTATGTACATCCGAATCAGAAAATTTGTGTGTATTATGTTAATAGTTGATGTGTATTATGTTAAAAGTTTATGTTTATTATGTATTATGTTAGATTATGTGTATTATCTTTTAAAAAGAGTATGTATATTTTGTTATATAATTATGTACATTCATGTATACAATTATGTGTATTCTAGTATAACATTATGTACATTCTTGAACAGCGGGTTTTTTTTTAAAAGAAAAAACTACTGCCATTCACTGGGGCGGAAAATTTCAAAAAAAAAATAATAATAAAACGACGTCGTTTTGCATCTGGGCGCATAATGTAACGCGCGCCGTGGTGTAGGATATAAATTGCCGTTATTACGTAATGATTATCGAGTGTCAAGATAAGAGAGAGAGAGAAAAGAAACTCATAAATTGAGAGTGCATAGAGGAAATGCGGAGGATTCTCATTCATTCCATCGTCAACAAACTTTACATGTACAATATATAAGTGTTTGTTTGTGTTAAGTCTTAAATTTGTTATACGAGAGCCAGGTTCCCAACAAGTCATACTAAGGGGCCGTTTGGTTCACGGAATGTCAGATTACCTTAGTGAATGTTGGATTGCTGGGAATGTTAGATTACTGAGAATGTTAAATTTCTGTGTTTGGTAAAAACTGAGATATATAATATAAACATGTTTGGTTGAAGTATTGTTATTTATGTTATATTGATTATTTTACTTTAATACCCTCAATATATTTTAATGCATTTCAATATTCCAATGCATGTAACCATGCAAAATTTGATATATATATATATATATAATTTTCATTCCTTCATCTGAAAAGTTGACTCGTGGCTTCATACATACAGATTCTTTAATTTCTACAAATTCAAATGTGGCTTCCACAAAGTTGATTTTTCATGTTAAGCAAAGTGAACTTAGCTTGCTTGCTTTAACCGAAAGGTTAATTTTGATTTTTTATTTTTGTTTAACTTTTCGGTAAAAAAAAAACAAAGCAATGTGATGGAAAGTGAAGGGTAAAGTTAGTAAAATGCCAATGGAATCTTCTAATACCTAAGAATTCTAAGAGAATCACATTCCCTTCAAAAGAGAGAAAAAGATGATGTGGAGGGTAAATTTTATTCCATGGGAATGTTGCATAACTCCAACCAAACATAGAAATCTTATATAACCAACCAAATATAACCTTGGTTATCTTAGATAACCCGAACCAAACGCCCCCTTAAAGTTATTGAAATGTTTTTAGAATTGAACAATACAATTATGAAATAAGAGGCTAAGAAGTTAAAAATAATGTTGCAAAAGTTATTTCAATATAAGAAAGTTAATAAAATGTGAATTTTCTATTTTACCCCTTAAATTTTAAATATTTTTTAATTTTTTCGTCAGTTTTAACTGTCAGGGACCAAATGCTCCACTTCACTCATAATCGAGAGACTAAAAATATATACGATCATAATTCAGGGACTGAGTCGTCACTACTATTATAACTCAGGATCAAACTCGTCATTTTCCCTTTAAAAAATCTAACATGATTTGCTTAAATTTTCATACAAATTAAGTAAAAAAATTACCACATAATACTTCAATTTTAAAATTTATACATAATTATAACATGTTTGCATTTTTTTTTTCTTAAATCAATTTTCATTTTATATGTACTGTATTTGTTTTCAGGAATGCGGGAACAGTGGAACACTGTCGGACTGTATAAGAAGTTGAAAAAGGAGGGAAAACAAGGCTGAATAAACCCCCAAAAAGCCCTAGCACCATCCCTACTCCAACCTCCATTTTTCACAGAACTATAATGGCCAGGGTGCTTCGGAATCTTTCTTCTTTCAGGCGTTCTCTGTTTACCCAGACACAGGTCAGCTTTTCTCCATTTCAGATTTTTTCTTTTCGTTTTTTGTTTGGCGGGGTTGGTTGGGGGGGGGGGGGAGCGGGGTTACGGAGAGTTTCGGAGTTCTATGGATTGGACCTTAATACTCTTCATATTGCTTTGTCTATTGTGTGAAAAAGTTGTTTTGCTTGTTCTGCAGGATCTTAGGACTGATGTTGTTGGGGCATATACTCAGCTGTGCTACTTTTCTTCTAAAGGTGTGTTTGATATCCAATAGTTACTCTGATACTGATTAGGCCATGTAAACCTATCACATTTTAATGTATTTGTACTTACATTTGGTCTAGTTTAGTTTTAATTACATCTTATATTCTTAATTTTTTTATTAGTATCTTTGAATTTACCTAGATGTCTATGTAAATTAAATAAGAATTTTGCATTATAAATTTATGCACATGCTATGTAGGAGGATATAGTACTGCACTACTGCAAACTCTTCTCTGCATAGAAATGATGTTTGCTAGTATGAGATATGCAGATATATACCTGCATATTTTATCCTTATAATGGTGTTGTATTTTGATGACAAAACCAGTGTGCTATGGAATGGAAATTGCAGTTATTTTTTTAAAGACTGTTAATAAGCTGACAGCTGCACGTCTGTGTTATTTTCAGGTAAAAGGAAATCAAAGTCAGATGAGAGTGATTCGGGTGATGAGAATTTGTCAAAGAAAGACTTGGCTCTCAAACTAGCTCTGGATCAGATCACTAAATCATTTGGAAAGGGATCCATCATGTGGCTGGGTCGTTCTGTCTCCCCTAAACAAGTTCCGGTGCTGTCTACAGGATCTTTTTCGTTGGATATTGCATTGGGGGTTGGTGGACTTCCAAAGGTTGGTATTGTTAGACCTTTTGCTTTTGCTGCTATATTTTTATTTTATTTATTTCTTTATTTTTTGCGGGTAAATTAAAGAATCTGGTAATACGAAATGGAAATATATTCTTCTTTGTGCATGCACTGCCAAACAATTGGAAGATTCTGCATTGTAGTTGTTTTAGTTTTACCATCACTACTCAATGGTCTGTCTGTTAGTAGTTTTCTGCGTGGAACATATCTAAACACTGTGTGAAAAGGCACATATAGCTGCCAAAAAGATTATACTGTTGTTGTATGTGTTGCTTTATATATTCCATGTTGATAGTGTATAACTTTTCAGTTTTGCACAGGGACGTGTAATAGAGATATATGGCCCTGAGGCTTCTGGGAAAACAACACTTGCTTTGCATATAATCGCCGAGGCACAACAACAAGGAGGTTACAATCTTATGCCTAACTGGTTAACTGCGATGCCTTTTCTTTTACCCCTGAAGAATATTATAACTAGTATAGATAGAAGAAATTAAGAAGCAAATGCTCTTTAGGAACGCCTTTCCGGTTATACACTTTGTGGTAGCTTTGAATTTACAAATTTAACCAAGCTTAGGTATGTTGAAGCTGTGAGAGTGTGAGGACGATCTCCCAAACTTTTGGATACTCTTATAGTTTCTTAAACAAATTAGATAGATTCTTAAAATTAACACCCCTAAAATAGTCAATATATTCGTCAATAAAAATGACATAGGAAAAAATTATTGACAAGAGATAAAATCATTAAATGATATTGAACAAAATTTTAGAGATTTCCAAGTTAAAGTAAGTAAAAAAAAAAAAAAAAAAACCTTTTCACATGAAGTAAGTTTCCACTATTGCAAAATTTCAGAAGGGCTTGATATTTCTCATAGAAACTAGAAGGTTCTATACAATGTTCAGTGATTAGAATGTAGAAGTGATGTTTTTTTCTTTAATTTTCTTTTTTTCTTTTTAAACCGAACTCAAGTAATGTCTGTTGAAGCTAAATAATGTAGCATAACCTGGATCAATGGAGGGAGATTCAATCTGTTGGTTATAGATTTTAAACAATGTTTCTTATTTTTGTCAAGAAAAAGTCCCAATAGATTGGGATTGTTCTATTTTGAAGGTTGTGAGACCTGATTATTGATGTTTTGTAGGTTATTGCTGCTTTGTGGATGCTGAGCATGCTCTAGATCCAGCATTGGCTACAACTATTGGGGTGAACACTGAAAATTTACTTATTTCTCAGCCAGATTGTGGTGAACAAGCTCTTAGCCTTGTGGATACTCTAGTCAGGAGTGGCTCAATCGATGTTGTTGTTGTAGACAGTGTAAGATCGCAGAGCTAATTATCACGGTTCATTGTAGTAGAGCCACCGGTATGTATTTGTAATGGGCTTTGATTGGCAGGTAGCCGCTCTTGTCCCAAAAGGTGAACTTGAAGGTGAAATGGGAGATGCACACATGGCAATGCAGGCTAGATTAATGAGTCAAGCACTGCGCAAGTTGAGCCATTCTTTATCTTTTGCACAGACTACTCTGATCTTTATAAATCAGGTATGAGTATGTTGAACTCTTCATATGCTCTTAACCATGTAATAGGTCTCCTGCTTCTTCCCCTTTGCCTCTAATTTTTGTGTGTAACTAATGCAAGATTTATCTTAAAGGAATAAGGTTCAAATTGGCCACTGAACGTAACCTGAAAATGCAATTAGGCCACTGAACGAACAAAAAGTGCAATTAGGCCACTGAACACTTCAAAAACGTGCAATTAGGCCACTGAACTCTCCAAACGTATGCAATTTCACCGGATAGCAGGTTACCATCAATTTTAGCAGGTTACCTGCTTACGTGGCAGCTGAGTTGACATTTTTAATAATTTTTAATAATAAATTTTATAAAAAATTGAAAAAAAAAATTAAATAAAAAATAAAATAAAGTCGTTTTTATTTTTTAAATTTTTTTTTAAATAAAAATTTATTATTAAAATTTATTAAAAATGATTTAAAATTTATTAAAAATGCCAACTCAGCTGCCACGTAAGCAGATAACCTGCTAAAATTGAGGGTAACCTGCTATCAGGTGAAATTGCACATTTTTGGAGTGTTCAGTGGCCTAATTGCATTTTCAGGTTACGTTCAGTGGCCAATTTGAACCTTATTCCTATCTTAAATTGCCGATACATTTTCCCCTATATGAAGAACACTTAGAAATGTTAATTACACAACATTGTTGTTAGTATTATATTATATGGTTGTAATATGTGTGGTGTTTAGAATAGATAGACTACTAGTCAGATTAGTTAGAGGGTTGTTATTAGATATACTCTGTAATCCTATTGTTGTGTTAATGATCAACAACTTTCTCTAATCTGGTATCAGAAGTCAGGTTATCGGAAAAATTCTCTCACCCTCACCACCACCGAAAATCAACCCCCTCTCACCGCTATGTCTACAATCCCTATCTAACTTTGTAATATTGCATAAACCTTGTATGGTTTTTAAACTCAACTGTTTGTATGGTTTCATTGCTTTTGCTATACCCATAATTTTTGTTTAGCACTTTTACATCATAACATTTTGGTCAAACAGCAAGTTGAACTTGTTTCAAATATAGAAGTTATTTCTTTACTGAATAAAAAGAATATGATCTTGCCATGGAGATAAATTGGTATTGGATCAAAAATAAACTTACAAACAGAATTGACTCCTTAGAATAGATGGGCTTCAAAGTACACTCTCCGTGCTTGTTGGTTTTATGTACTGTACTCATGGGCATGTAATTTCACTACACGATAACTTCTAAGATGTTAGAAGAAGAGCAGATAAGAGTTATCCGTATAACCTGTAGAGAAGTGGATACATTGGGGAAAGTGGGACTACTTAAGGATCATGGAGTTAATTGGGGTGTTATTACAACATGATCACAGAAGTGGAGCGAGGTCATGGATAGGGTGATGGGGGATTGATAAATATTACAAAACAATGGTAAATAAGTTGAAGTCTTCTGGTAAATTAATAACAAGAGAGTTGGCAAATTGCATTTCTGGCTTTATGTTCCAATATAAAAAGTTCTCATTTTGATCAGAAATTAATATTGATCTCATATTCCCATTACAAAAACTTTGCTGACAAATTGCATCTTAGTTCAGGTGAGAGCAAAGCTATCTACTTTTGGAGGGTTTGGAGGACCTCAAGAAGTTACTTGTGGTGGAAACGCATTAAAGTTTTACGCTTCTGTGCGTCTAAATGTCAGGAGAGTTGGGCAGGTCAAGAAGGGGGAAGAGGTATATATTTTAATGGGAAAATGGTTATGAGTTTTGTTTATTTGCATTTTACTTCAGTATATTCACTTGCCAAAGCTTATTCTTCCGAAAGCCATTTGAATATGCCATCTGCTTTACAGATAATAGGAAACCAAGTTGTTGTGAAAATCGTAAAGAACAAGCTCGCCCCTCCATTTAGAACTGCAGAGTTTCTGCTTGAGTTTGGCAAAGGAATATGTCGTGTATCTGAGCTTATAGAGTTAGGACTGAAACACAAATTCATTACAAAGACAGGGGGTGCGTTTTACAGCATGAATAACCAGAGCTTTCGTGGCAAGGAAGCAATAAAAACATATTTAGCTGACAACATTAGTGTAAGAGAAGATCTTGAAAAAAAACTCCGGGAGAAACTTTTTGTTGATCGAGAAAAGGAGGCTGTCCCAGAAGCTGTAGATGGGGACGACCCCATTGAAGAGGTTATATCATCTGACGCGACTGATGATGAAATTACAACTGCACTTGAGGCATAAAAGTTGGCGGCTGAACAGATTTTCTTCTTAGTGGAGGCCCTCCAGGCTCCAATTTTGTGTCAAATGTGCAATTAGCTTGTGGTCAATGGTTGCGTGCTGATAGTCAATTCATGTTGCGTGTTGCAGCATTATTGGAATTGTTTTGAAGTATCCAAACCACGGTCTTCTATTTAGGTTAAACATATATGTATTCTGTGGCACGTAGTTGGTCTAAATTTTGAATCACAAGGGATAGGGTAAAGCCATTTTTCAACTTTGTTGAATAACTCCATTGCTACCGTACAATTTCTGTCTGTATCAGACATAACCTGTCCTGTATATATCAGTGACAACATTTCTGAGATTTATCTCACCTAATCTTTTCAGTAATTTTTCATTTGCAATTCGCAAATTCTGGATGATCACATGAGATATAGTGACAGTAAGCTATTCACTTTGACATTAATTTTCTAGATTTCAAAGATCTGAGCTGTCTGCAGTGTTACATGTGATTTAAGGTTCTTTCAAAATCCTATGTTTTATTCTATTGCTACCTCTTTAGTTTAACATTGCTCTGCAGGGGTATCAAGAAAGCATAATGATACATCACGCCTTTGACCTTTCAGGTTTGCACCAGGTATGATCAACCCTTTTTTTTTTTTTTGGTGCATAATTCTTTATATTAAAAACCATAAATCCCAACTAAGTTGGTCAGACAGTTGGCTTAGTAACCACAAGGTTCTAAGTTTGACTCCCAGTGAGCAGCCTATTGACCTTCTTGGTTTGAGCCGGTCAGCTATGGCAACCTAGGTTGGTTGACCTCCTTGTGGTCCTTTGCTGGCTAGGGTCACAAGGCGGAATGTTCTCAATGCACACCCTCGGGTAGTAGCTGTGGGTCACTAAAAAAAAAAAAAAAACCATACTCAATACTTTTTCAATAGGTCACTTCTAAGTAAATTTCTTTTCTTTTGTTTATCCTTTTTCAATGTTTTTTAGTTTGACCAGTTGCATACTTGCATCATTGAGTACTTTTCTATAAACTTTTGACATTTCAATTGTTTTCTATTGTAATCCTATTGACCATGCAATTTTAAAAATTCAACCACTTCACCATAGTTGGTCTTGGTCAATGCTAAGATTTTGTCATGTGTTCAAATTGTTTCTTTAATTTCTTTAGGTGTGATGTAATGTAAAGATTCTGTGTATCATTCAGACAATATTTCATATTTCTGTTGCTATCATTCTTTGGAAATTTTTACTGGGAAATGATTTTTTCCAATCTTTATCATAATGTGCTGTAGTTATTAGTTGGATCCTTCCTAACCTGTTTCCTCCAAGATAACCATTCACTCTTTGTGGCCTTGGTGATGGACAACTACCTGTGTGAAATATGGACTAATGTTTAGATTTGTGTATTTGTTTGGAAAAATGACGTATTTGAATTGGCCCCTAAGTTATATATTAGGTATAGATTCAGTCCCTCATTTATTATCGTGTCTATTTTTTATTATTTTTTTTAATTTTTGGTGACGATAGAAACTTGCACCCACTACATGAGGGTGTGCACTGAGTAAACCTTAGATTTGATTTCCTCTTATTCTCCTTAGATTAATCAACTTTCGCGTGTTGTAGTGAGTTTATTTGACAAATTAAAATGTGAACTTTAAAAAGGATTCTACCTTTGTTTACCATTGAGATGGAGTTCGAAGTTTGTGAAATAAACTCACTATACTTGGGTATAACTTAGGGCCAGAATATGCTATTTTTCCTTTTTATTTTGTATATGTTGAGGAAAGGATAGGATGGTGATATTTGAACACAAGTCTATTAGTCAGAAAAGAACATAATTTTGCTGTTAAATTATACTTTGAACTCCATTAATGTTTAGATAGCAATGTGAATATCAATCATGTTTTATTGTGTGTAAAAGATACATTAATCCTTGGATGGACATGAGCTTTAATGTTTCCATATGAACAGAATTTGTGGTCTGTATGGTGCAAACAAGTACATAACAATCGAAGATACCCTGTGGTGAACTGTATAAGATAGGGATTGATCATTTGATCTTGACCTCCTATTGAAGAGATATTAATGTTGTTAATTAAGTTTTTATGGTAAAAAATTATTGGTGTTGCTAAAACATATGAATATTACCAAGCTTCTTGGAAACATCCTAGTTTCTTTTCCATGTTGGTAATTAAATTTCCAAAAATTTATGTCATCTCAATGCTGCCTTGAACAAGAAAACAGAAGTTAGGGATTGTGACTCCTTTGTGTTATCGTGAAGACGTGAACAACAGGGAAATGAGCATACTATGTTTTGTCGTGTGAATTAATCAATGAGAAATAATAAATTGTTTTATAGTGACAAGTTCAGACTTTTCTGCAATAGTTATTGTGTGGACCGTGGTCCACACAGCTGCTGTCTGTTGGAGTGCTACTGAGTTGGAGTAGTACGTTGGTGGACCGAGATAATGTAACTGGGCAAGGAGCGTGATGTGGGTTGGCGCAAGGTGCAACGAAGACTTTGGTGGAGTTGTAAGACACAAATTATGTCATAGACTATGATTCACCGTGCGCATTGTAGACCTTGTAAATACATAATCTGGACAATAGTCTATAATGCTTATGGTGGACCCTAGTTTATAATATAACAATTGGTGGTAAGAAGCATTTTCCTAGTTAGGACTTCTCTAAACATGAATTAAGTCTGCAACTATTTTTTTGGCACCCGCATAGATTTCACATAGGCACTAGGCGCTGCCCGGACACTTGACTAGTGCCTAACGCCTACTGCAACCATGGTTGGAGTAGTGCGTTGGTGCACCAAGATGATGAAGCTGGGCTAACACCGTGATGTGGGTTGGCATAGGGTGCAACAGAGATGTGGTGGAACTGTAAGAAGCATTTTCCTTATTGGATTGGAGGATAGTGCTTAAATTATAAGGACCTACTCAGAATGAGAATAAAATTAAAGTTGCATGTGACGTATGTTTCTTTTTTAGACACATTATTTTCTGCCACAAGGCCGCCCACGATGCTACCTCGACGGGGGATACTGGGCGCAGATTGGCGACGCGACATACGGTGCAGTGCTTTTACATTCGGATGGCTCGTTCAAAGCGGCAATGAACAGCAAACTCCCGGGTTGTTTCTCACCCCTTATGGCAGAGGCACTTGCATGCAAAGAGGCTTTATCTTGGCTCAAGGAGCGAAATGAATTGGATGTGGATCTCTTGACAGATTGCTCAGAACTCCGAAACTACTTACTTTCCAGTCCTACGACCATCCTGTCCTACGTAGGGATGGTGGTGGATCAATGCCGGGCAACTATAGCTCTTTTTTCTCATTGCTCATTGAATGTTATTTCTAGATTAGTTAATTTACATGCTCAAACCTTAGCTATGGTAACTTTTGATCAGGAACACTCTATGTATTGGGACTCTGTCCCTCCTGACTTTATATCTTCTTTCCTTCATTAATATATGCCAATGCTTTTGACTTTCAAAAAAAATATATCTAATTTTCTCATAACAATAACACTTTTTCTCTCATTCATTAAGGTATTGATGTTTAACTCTTATACTTCGATTTAGTTCTTAATTTAATCATTAAATCAAAAAATCCAAATATGTTAGTGAAACATGAAAAAAGTAATAAACTATTTCCAACCCACTAAGTGGTGTTTGGAAATCATGTAAAATGTCTCATTCTTGGGGTGCTTCGCACTCATTTCCTCTGGCCATTGTGGCATCAAAGCCACATGAATTAATTATACTTTTTTCCTTTTTTGACTATATCAATCATTAATCGTCTATTTTTTAAATTAATCAAATTTAGTAAAAAAATATATAATTATAATCGAGGACCACAATGGTATTATGTCACATTAATATTCTAAACTCTAATGTCATTTCAAAGTCATGTTTTTTCCACAAAATTTCCGCACGCCGCTCCAACTATAAATACATCATACTTTAGTTCTTTTGTGGTCAGCATTTCATAATAAATGATAGGGAAAGTAAAAAAGTTAACATATAACCTCTTTTGAGTTTAGATTATCATATAACCTCAATCACGTGAAACTTCACTACTTCATTTTTTTTCCCCGTTTCTTTTTAATGTTTTAACAATCCAATTGTTTATTACTATGTTTTCCTTTTATGGTTAAAGTATCACCATATTACATTAAAAAAATGATACAATTAAGGTCATCACTACCACATAAATCATAACATGATTTTTACATGTCTACTCAAACATTATAGTTCACATTAAAATTTGAACTATTATTCCATCTATCTATTCCATAACAAAAACTACTCCTATTGAGGTTGTTCTGGTACAGGTTGGTACATTCACACCTGACATGTCTTTTTTTTTTTTTTTTTTTTTTTTTTTGAGAACAAACAGAGATATATTAAGTCACTAAATAGAACATTACAAAGAAACGACGGAGGGGATAACAACCACTCCGTGCGTTCAGACATAGAAACGGACTTCCTTGCAAGGAACCTGACATGTCTTGATGGTCCAATTTTTGGGAGCATAATAGGCGGATGATTAATTTTAAAGAATAAGAGACGAATGGTTTTGAATGTGATTGAGTGATACATTGGGATAATAATACTAGTCAAAACCGTCGTCTCTACCATCTTTGAATTCCTCCAATGGTCAATAAAAACTATAAAAGAGGGGGGAAATTAAATATCATCTCCCAATTAAAAGTAGGGTAAAAGAAATTAAAGTATTAAATTAATTGCTGGAATTAAGTGATAGTCGTGTAAAATGTTTCCACACAAAACTAAAGCCTAATTTTTTTAAAAAATAAATTTACAATAAAATAGTTGACTATTATCAAATATATGATTATAAAGAAGTGGTGAGATTTTTGTAAATAGTAAAATTAAAATTGTTGTTTTATTTATATCTTTTTTTTGGGTGATTGAAGAAAACCTTCTTTCTCCCAAGGAAGGTTTTCTTCATCACCCAAAAAAATTTGCATTGTGCCAACCCGTTGGTATGCTGAGTAAGAAACTCGGCTATTATAAATTTAAAAAGGTGATAATAATTTGTAATTAATTAAATTATAATTTTATTACTGAAATGATATTCCACTATTCCATTTTACTTGTTCTGTTTATCATTTATTCTGTTTATTATTTATTGGTCAAAGCAACTATCTTTTCTATTGTTTATTTTTTTTTAATAATTTTTAATTATTTTTAAATTTAATTTTTTTGTGTGTTTAATAGTAATTTTAATTTAGTTTCAAAATATATAAATTTTATACACTAATATTAAATTTAATATTATAAAAAATTGAATTAAAAAATAATTTCAGTAAAGTCTCGTTAATCAGACTAGACAAATAAAATGGGATGGAGAGAGTACTATTTTTAATGGTTGAAATTTTTATTACTCCGTATTTATTGGCAATGTAAACTTCCTCTAATTATAAATAGATTGTTTAGGATAGTGACATAGGTAAGGTAATTGAGTTAGGTTAAGTGAACGACTACCCAATTTGTCGTCATTCAGGGTAAGAAAGTGACTATAAAACCAAAAAAGTGATAACATTTGTATGAAAATAAAAATATTGGTCGATTAATAAAAAGGATACTTTTCTTTTTGTTTTTAGTGGTTGATTTCCTTATTATTCCACAATGTAAACTTTTTGAAATTAATTATTAATAGACTATTTACGATAAGCTCCCATCGCTTGATAGCTACTTTGGTTAGGTGGACAAGAGTTTGAACATTAAAAAAAAATGATTAAAAAAAAAAGAAGTAAAATAAAATAAAAGTAGTTTGATTTTATTGACATTAGACCATCTTTCCAAATGCATTTTTGTAGGGTTATTTATTTATTTATTTTGGGTGACGAGAGAAAATCATAGTTATTAGTCAGGGTCCTAATTTTTATTGGAACAGTCCTGGTTATTACTTGAGAGTGCACATTAAGTAAACTTTATTCTTGTGCAATAACTTACAGATTACAAAGAAAAAAGTAATCGTACTAGGAAAATTTTGTGTCACGGCAACATGCAATGATATATATGCTCTTTCACTTTGATAGTTTGATCCATAAATTTGCACTGTTTGGTCAACAACGGCGACATACAATTCTTGGATCACATTGCCCAGACCAATCTCTTTTTGTTAGTCATTGGTTTAGAAAATTAATATGAAAAAAGTTGATTTAAAGAATGGTAGAGTATGGAACATGATTTTGTATGATTGATTGATGATAAGTCGATTAATTTATAAATATGTAATGAACAAATGAAATTACAAGTTGCATATGATGATGGCATATAATTAAAATTGCATTTTTGGTCATCTAGTTATACTCGTAGTACAAACTTAGTCTCTGAGTTATATGCGTGACCATCTTTAATTCTTAAGTTATGCATGGAGTTGTAATTTTAGTCCTTGAAGCCGTTGAAGGACCAAATCAACCGCTTTATTAAGTGACAAATTGGTGTTAAAAACAACTCTTGATGGACTAAAATTGTCACTTTATGCATAAGTACAATTATGGGTTAAAGATAATCACGTATATAACTCAGGAACTAAGTTTGAAAAAGTCGATCCGATGTGGGTTAAAAATTGAGATACATGAAAAAAATATAAAGTAAGTCGGGTGATGGATATAGCCCTCCCCTATCTGGAACACGCTTCACGCCCCCCAACCCACCCACCATTTAATGAATCACATTCATAGTAGATTGAAACTTTTTTTTTTTTTTTAATTTTTATCAAAGCACACTTTTAAGAAAATTTGACTATCAAACAAAGTAACAAACCTTTAATATAACTATTAAATTTCAATTTTTGTTTTTTTTTTAAAAAAAAAAAAAAATCAAAATACAAAAAATAATAGTCTCTTTTTTTTTTAATAAATTTTTTTAATTAAAGCGTAACTGGTTACGAGATACTTAAATGATTAAGTAATAAGTCTAAAACAAGTGAAATATGTATTAAAATGAGTACCTATTTTTTGAACTTTCTCTACCAAAATTGTGCTAAATCTAAAGTTATACAATGATGATGATTTCTATGTGGTCATTAGATTAACAAAATTGAGCCTATGATAGTTTGAAAAGTGTTGGGCAGTGGATTAGGCCAGCTTTCCCTATGCCAAGTCACCAACAACCCTTCTCACTGCTTCCAGGAAATCCGATTCATTCAATTCACCTCCCTGGAGAAGAAAAAAAAAAACAAATTCAACAAATTAATAATACATATCTATTGTAAATCAAATAATCATTATTTATTATCCTATTTTTGTATTCTTAGTGCCACCCGGCCTTATTATTATTATTATTATTATTATTATTATTATTATTATTATATACAAAAAGGAAAAGTTCTTAATATTTACATTTGTATTGGAATATAATTATGTTATTGGTCAAATCTAGATTAGTCTCACAATGATGAAAATATTGAATGTAGTATAAAAAAAAATATTTTTTACAAGACACATTATTATTAACACATAAAAACTTAGTTTATTTACCTTTATGAAGTTCTAGAAAATTTGTATGTAGTCATCTCACATGAGATATATTTCAAATAAATAATAAATTAGTATCATATTTTCGTTGAAAAGTATTACTTGTTCATAGAAGAATATTAGTAAAAAATGTAACATATTTTGGTGAAAAATAATAACTTTCCAGGCTGGTATAATTAACGGGTAAAGTGCTGGCCACATTGATTTTTCATACGAAAACGGGATCAAATTTTCCATCTCTCTTAAGAGACGAGAGTGCGCGGTCATTCAGACGAACCAAACTGATTATATTATGTTATTGTTAAAAACAATTATGTATTTGACATTTTTTTCCATGAGATAATTTCTAATTTTTACTCCCCCACCCCCCAAAAAATAATAATAATAACATTTGAAAGTAAATAAAAAAACATTATAATTTATACATACCTGAATTAGGAGTCTCAAGATTATACGATGAACAGAAGTGGATCTGGTGTTAGCTTCAACAGAGATCAATCCTACATTCTCAACCTGTTTCAAGAACTCCAGCAATCTCATTACCAATTCTAAGATCCCATTCTCTCCCCTCACCCTCACCTGCAAATCCACCACTCTGTTATCCTCCGACGTCGACTCGCCGGCCTCGGTTATCCGGACGTCCACCCTTCCGCCGCCGCAGAAGGAGGACGACGCCTCCTCCTCCTCCTCCTCCGCTTTCGCCCCCTTCCCCGCCACCTCTGCTTCCAAGATTTGGTTTTTTCTGCTCAGCTCTTCCACTTTAGCCTTAAGAGCAGATAACTGCTCTGTCGTCATGCTAAGAACTGACGCTTTATCTTTCTGCAAAACAAAAAAAGACAGTTAAATGTCGCTGGATTATGAATTCGTTTAAGGTTTCTGAAAAGCCGAGACCAGCATCCTGTCATTAAAATTGAAGCTATGTACTCCCATCTCCAGCAACACGTGACTATCGAATCCATGAACTTTGTTCTGACTCTGATACTAAATTGAAGCATGTGCTCCATCTCAATTAAAAACTTAAGCTTATAATTGGATTGCACATTAATGGTTATATGCTCAACAATTAAAACGGATATTTGTGATTACCTTAGTTCCAGGAGGGAGGAGTGATCTGAGGTGTTGGAAGCTTTCATTGAGCTTTTCGCGTCGTTTTCGCTCAGAAATCATATGATGAACTTGCGTGATGGTGGGGCGAGTGGTGCGGGCGAGTTCCTGGCGTTTGATCAAGTTGAGGTTTCTGAAAAACTCGAATGATCTTTTCAGTACGGTTTGTTTCTTCATTATTATCGCCCTGCCGCCACCCACCGGCTGAGCCGCCGCCGCCGCCATGTTATACCTTCTGAAAGCTGTGAACTTCTGGAAACTTCCTTGGGGGTGAAGAGAAGAAGAAGGAGGAGGAGAAGAAGAAGAAATGACAGCTAAATAAGCTCTGGTTATGGCGGCATCTTCACACTGCATTGACGGGAAATCAATGGCGGCGCCTCTGATATGCCTCATACTTCCTCCTGCCGCAGGTGATGTCACTACAGGAAGCATCCCCCTCTGGTCGGAAAACACCTCTCTCAGCGGCGGCTCCGCCGCGTACGGAGTGGCGGCAGCTGCTACACCGAACAGAAGGGATTCCGGGCTGTCTATGGAGAGTGATTTTAGTGATGATGAAGAAGAAGATGGGCGATTCGGGTCGGGTTGAAGTTGAGGACTTGAAAGGCCCATTGCTGGGCCTGGGAGTGCTGCTTGTCTGAAGAAATCTTCTGGGAATATATTCTTCATCTCCATCTCCATGTTAGCCTAATCCAAAATTTGATTTAGAGAGAGTTGAGAGTTGAAACACTCAAATAAATATATAGAATTGGGATTATAAAATTAAATTATATATTTATGTTGTTAATTATGTTTGTTAAGGATGTCTAACAACCAATAATGTTGTCTTACCTGTGGGACAGAAGATAACCCAAGCTCAATCTCTCCTGTGCCACATCCCATAAAAATAGCTGTCTAAAAATCAAAACAAACAAAATCAGATTTTTTAATAAGCAAAAAATCCCACACTCTAGTCTAACAGGATTGAAAAAATCAGATTTTTTTTAAAAAAAAATAAGGAAAGATGAATGAATATAAGATTCTTGAAATGCATGAATCTGCAACAGACCTTTATTCCTGCTTCCTGCATCACCCACAGAAAAAACAAAACATTTGATCATCATCATCATCATCATGGTAATTGAAATTGAAACAGAAAACTGCAGATTTTTGTTTTTTGGTCTAAAAAAGTTGCAGAAAAAATCTCAGAACTTGAATTACCCTGTAGAACTGCTTCTGCACTTCATTGGAAGCAAGTCTTTCAAGATCTGGGAACAGCAGCTCCATGTAAGGGAGATTGTTCTTGAATGCATATCCCGGAATGCGCCTAAAACCCGAACAAACAAACAAACAAACAAACTTCAGCTCAAAACAAAACTACCATTCAATTCATCTGCAAATATATTTGTGTGCCCAACTAACCCTTCATGGAATAGAAGTGGTGATGAGTGTCTATACTCCTCGAAAAGCCGCCTGGCTACGCTGTTTTCACCACTGAACAGCCCATCCACAGACACCAAATAGCTGCTGTCATGACAACAACATTTGAAACCTAAGCAATCAATGTATGTAATATATATAATGCCACACACAAATAAACAGATCAGATGGTTTAATGTAGTCTTTGATGAAGAAGCCATACTTTGATGGGTGGGGAAAATAGGACCAGAGGCAAATGTAAGTGCACCCAAAGCTCTGCATTATCCGATGAAAAAGAAAAGCAATTCTGTCACCTTCTTCAAGGAGGAAGATGGAGTCCATGTTTTCTCCAGCTCCTTCTGCTAAGCATAATGCATGGTAGCTTTCTGGAAGCTTTAGACCAGATAATATATGTATATAACTATATATATAACAATCAACTTCTCCTAATATTCATATATACTTTACCAAGTTGTAGCCTTTTTCTGGTGCCACATGTGAACATGATCTTTATCAAGAATGGAGACATATTTATGTATGTATATATGTGATGGAAGAAATTAAAGAAGAATATTAGAATTGTATTGAACTACAAAGTAGCATAAAGACTTGGTTCAATTCTTTAATTTGATAAGCTAGGCTGGGAAAGGTACCCTTTTAGGGTTGGTGGTTTGGTTACATTTGGGGCAAAGGATTTGAAAAGTATGAGATTTGGAGGGAGGGAGGGGGTAAAAAAAAAAAAAAAACATCCCACACAGAGAGAAATAATAGAGGTTTTTGAAGAAAAGTAGTGAAGGGTAGAAAAGTGCAATTTTTCAAATTTTAGGGGAAAAAAGTTAGAAGTTTGAAATAAAGAGGGGAGATGGTCACAATATTTAGTAGGAGTAATATTACCCTAAGCCCCTAACTCTCACTTTTTATTCTATTTCTTACTTCATATTGACATGACATACTCTGATTGATTAAAAAAACTAGGTCATAATTTGTATTCCTTTCAATTTCTTCTTATAATAAAATCAAAATAAGTAACGACAATTTTACTTATTAGAAGTATACTAATCACGGTGACAACTCTAGCCAAGTTGGTCGTGTTGTTAGCTTGATAATTATAATATTTTAAGTTGGTTGAACTGACTGGTTTAACTCCTTATATTCCTTTACCGACTAGGTTCACAAGATAGTGTTTACCCAGTGTAGTGGTTGTAGTTTTCCCTTAGCATAAAAAAAAAAAAAGTACGTATACTAATCATTTTCCCATATATTATAATTCCTAGCCAACATAACAATTGAATTATAAATTTTTGTGCAATGTTGTTTATTCTCGTGTTCCTTTCAAGAAATAAAAGAAGTGAGAGTATTTTGATCATAACTGAGAAAATAGGAAAATTAATATGGGGTAATGGAGTTTTTGAAGAAAAGTGTAGAGGTATATAACATGGACATTTTCAAATGTGTAGGGGGTGAAAATATGAATTAGAAAAATATAGAGGTTGGAGGGGCATGCAGCCAACCAAGAGAATGGAAAAGTAAAGGTCAAAGTCCACACAAGAGAAAGTTCAAAATTGAGTCAAGGGAGGAAGGCAGAGTGTCATTGTCAATTTATTTTATTTTATTTTTCATTTTTTAATGCTGTTCTTTTGCTTACTGCCTTTATATATATATATATATTTTTTTTGTTCATTTCTTTATTTAATATTGCTTACTCATAATTATTCTATGAGGAGTCAAAATTGAATAGAATTGAATTATATTAGCTGAAAATTAATATATATGTGTGGGTGTGGTGGATTGGGGTTGCCAAATTATTATGTGGATCATAACAAAAATTACATTTTAAATATATTAAAAGTACATTGTTTGTGTATTGAAGGTACATTATATAAAATAATCTACTTTTAGTACTCAAATAATGTATTTTCTCTGAATATAATATGCATTTTTAATATATTAAAAATACATTATTTATGCAACGAATGTACATTATTTGATAGTATGATCCACACAATAATGATTAATTGGGGCTGGGGTGAGGTATTTAATAATGTATCTTTATTTTGCTTGTCATGTTTATTAATATATGGTTAAACCAATTTTTTAAATATATAAATTGACAAATCGTATTAATTAATAAAACAAAGAATACAAAAAAAAAAAAAAAAAAAAAAAGAATTGAAACCAGTTTGAATCAATCCGCCTCAACTAAATTAGACACGTAATTTAAAAAAAAAAATTAATATGACGGAGGAAGTATATAAAATTTAGAGAAAGACTTTGTTAAATTTGACTTAAAATGGCATGTAAATTGATTATTTGTGGGGGTTTTTCAGTGGGTTCAATTTATGATTTAGACCGCGTCAAAGTGAATTCAACCCTTCTAGTTGCGAGGATTAATATAGTATATTATACGCTTAAAATGAATAATATATAAATGATGAATTAATTTTCAAATTCTACCCATTTGAGTTGAGAAAAATGCAATTGGGAATGTTTTTTCACATTGGGAAATAGATGTGTTTGTACTAATATATACAATTGTACTTTTTGATGAGTTTGAATTGCAATTGTATAGATTCTCTTTCGCGTGCAATGTGAGGGGTGCAAATCTTTCTAATTTTGAAAGTTACAAATTAAATTTTTAAATTCAATTTTGAATTTGTCATTAGTACTAAACTACTAATGAATTCTGCTTTCCCTATAAATACATTTATGTTGCATTGATTTTTTAATTGATTTTTTTGAAACACTCCAAAATCTCTAATTTTCTACTTCTACAAAATTTCTCTACTTTTCTTCAACGTACTGCAACATATCATACAAAAATTATGAAGTGCTCATTTTGTTAAAGTTCGTCAAGCGTTTATATTTGAGTACACTGTACACAAATATAACATTATAATCCATTGTATCATAGAAGCTGACGTTTCAACACTCCTAACCCCCCCGGAAAGAAGTGAATTGATTTTAAGAAAAAATGTAAGTATCACATGCCTTGAATCATTTTTATAGAATTAGTCTAAAATTTGTGAGAAATATTTTTCATAAATTAAATTTCCTCGTTGTTTGTAGGTATTAATCCCTATAGACTTTAGCTCCATGTTGCCTCCTTGTATTAATAAATGCTAGAAACATTGCTATGTTTTGTAATCAACTGCAAAAACAAAAATAATAGAAATAAATAAAAAATGCTATTTATTTCAAAAAAAAAAACAAAAAAAAAAAGCTAGAAATAATATATTTGTCATTTGTCTGTCATCAACAAGATTGATTCGATCGAAGAATGACTAGTCAATATGTTCGTCTACTCAATGTGTAAGATTTATCCACATACTTAAACTGCAAAGGCTTTTATTTATTTATTTATTTATTTTATTTTGATTAAAGAATAATATGTTCAGGAGTTATATTAATTTTTGATTAATTTAGAATTGAGGTTCTATCAGATCCCATATATATGAAAAATTTTTAACATCTATTTATAAGGTTAAAACATAAAAACAAACAGCTATAAAAGAGTGGGAAGAACATGATTCTCAAATCAAAAAATTATAAATTTGATTTTTACAAACACCATTCAGTCGAGTACGTCTAGAATAAAATTTGTATATACCTATCACATTAATGGTATTCTAGAAATATGTACTTAATACACTAACAACCCAATTTTATTTTAATAAGCCCTATTTTGATTGATTTGTTGTGTGAGTTTACTACTCCTTTTGATTTTATAGCGGTAATGGGGTGTTATAAAAAGGACAAATTTTTTTAGCGGTAAATGATTGACATAAACTTATTTAAAATGAGAAGTGTCAAATTGAATTTTTATTTTTATTAATTTTTCCCAAATGCTCTGTCGGATCGGAATGTGGGGGGCCCTTAGGGTTGGGATTCAGCCTTTTGGAAGAATATAACATATTATGCAATTGAATAAATGTCTAATGAGGAAAATAGTACAATTATAAAGAAAAAAAGGTCGATAGAAGTAATCAATATTGCAATACATCATAAACAAATAAGAAATGAAAAATCGTGAAAGAATTTTAAGTGTACAATAAAATAAACATAACTTACATGTTATTGTGTTTAATGATATTATTAAAAGTGTTAACTACCTAGATGAACAAATAAATGAAAATGATAAAATCTGAATGAATTTGTAGACAGAAAAATTTAATGTACACACATTGTTTAATTAATTATTGTTAAAACGTTAAGATTATTATTTTTTTATACAATTTTATATTAGATCTAAGAAAGTAATATATTATAAATGGAAGAAATTTTGAGTCCAAAGCTGAAGTCAAGCAGGGGCCAAAAGTTTCCATTTATTGGCTAGGCCATAGACCATAGGCCATACCTGATGTTGCAGGGTCGTTTGTGGTTGCGAAGGCTGGTCTTCTCCTTTATACTCTCGATCCCAATCTTGTTGAATAATCTCTCGCATGTAAAGAGGTTTTGTTAGAAAAACCCGTTAAAATAATAAGTATATAGGAATATATATAGAATTAAGTTCACTTAAATTTGTCATTATAGTAAATATATACATTGAGTTGAGTACATGTAACGCTGAAGTTAAAAATAATATTGGATAGGTTGTCCAAAAAAGAAGACAAATTGTACCAAGTTGACCAAAATCAATGGCATATGATAGTGAAGAGAATGCTTGGTTGGCTCCTTGTCCCATCCTTATACAATGGACCAATGTTCACAATAGACCCGAGTGTATGCCAATGTGTTTATATTGTGAATTTTTGTATCTTATATTATAAAATTCTGTATTTTAAGAAGAATTTTATCTAAAACAAATTAGTAATTGTATCTTATGTTATTAATTTATGTGTCTTGTGTTATGAAATTGTGTGTTTATGAACACAAATTATGTATCTAAATCAGATTTGAAAAATAAGTATATATAACATGTGTATGTGTCTTGTGATGTGACTTTTGTGTGTCTGTTATGAAATTTTGTACCTTACGAGTATGAATTTTGTATCTCATCGTTTCAATTCAGGGCATGCATAATATTATGTGGACCATTGTATATGATATAAATTGCCGTCATTGTCATGTGTATGATACTAGTCAGCTCTAACTTCCAGAACAGTAAAAACAAACTGCCATTAAAGAAGACAATTAAAGTGGAAGACAAGGTCATCTAGCTTATTCATACACATCCACACATTGACGTATCAAGTATCAAAGGTTGTCATCACTAATTTTGATAAATAAAAATTAATTCTATTAATAACGTACTTCTTTTACGTTTAAAAATATTTTAATTCTCTTTTATTTAAGCCTTCATCAAGTAAAATTATTAATACATTTGTCAAGGCTATATATATATATATTAAAGTATAAAAGTAAAACATAAATGTTAGTTTCATTTTTTTAATCAATGTATTGGGTATGAAAGTTTCAAAATTTTTATATTTTTACTTGGTTGTGTTTTGACTTTTGATAACTATATATATAGTTAAGGGGGATGATAGTTACTAGCACTTATGAGTTCCTAAATTTGGTAATATTGAATGATTGTTAACCACCATCTTGTTTACCTATTCATTCAACTAGTAGAAGCTGTCAAGAATTTGGCCATTTCAATATAACAATAAGTTTGCTTTATCATTCTTATCTGTATGAAAGAAGTTTGATATGATATATATACATAAGACTTGGTCAGCTCTATTTACCATCTTAATATACACATTTTTACCTTATCCAACT